TTGTCTTTTGTCTCCCTCTACCTATACATGTTCCTTTGAGCCATGTCCCATCCTCTCTGGTAAGAAAATAACTAACTAAACCATTCAATAAATAATTGTTTTTAAAGTAAAAATGTATTATCCTTATCAAATCTTTACAATCCATGTCTTCCATATCTCCTTACCTTTTTATTGTAAGAATCCTGTTTGTTTTCCCATCATCCAGGACTTTGTTGTTCTGGAATGTTCCACTCCTTTTTTCAGAATAATTCCTACCTTCATTAACTAACCCTTTAACAGCACATTTTTGATGTCTTACTCTTTCCATTTCTCCTTCTAATGGCAAGGAATTTATGCCCTAAAAATTAGGTCCACTACAGTACTACTGCAAACTCATAAAGGTAAAGGCTTGTACGTTCACTCTTGTACCAATAATCTATCTTCCCAGTGACATGAAAAAATGTTTAGACTATGACTATTTAATCAACAAACAAGAACTATACACATTAATAGAAACAACATAGTTAATTATAACTTTTACCCTCTGTAAATAATTTCTGGGCTACCTCTGCTCTACAAAACAGACTTTCTTCTCTTTTTCTTTCAATTTCTCTAATTAAGTAAGCCTAGCTTATACATTTGAAAATCATTTTTTTCTTTAATAAAAGAAAGGTAAATTCACTATAAATATACTAAGTGTTCACACACATTTGTTTTAACATTGTTTTCTGGTTTAATCTCCATATACTGACCTAGTTATGTTGAGTCGGTATTAAATAATCTTTAAAATACACCTCATTCATAGTAGTTACATTATAGAACATGAATGGAAATGCCTGCCTGTCTCATAAATTGTCAAAAACTGTAGGTGATAGCAGGTTTAATGAAACAACATGACAGAGGCTGCAAGGAGGCTAAATGAGGACCTGACAGCTTCAGAATTCAGTGACAGGTGGCAGAAAACTGGGATGTGAAGAAGACAGCACTCCCTGTTTAAAAAAAAAAACAAACTATCCTTTGTTTAATGAGCTGGTAGCTTAGTCGATAGCTTGACATGAGCATTGTTGGAGAACTGCACCATGAGGGAAAAGCTGAGAAGGCCAGAATGAAGAAAAAGTCATAGAAAGTCCTGCATTTCTGGCAAACTATGTGTTGGTAAGCATGGTTACAGAGAATATTATGAGCATCCCTGTATCTTCAAATACCTAGCAAGAGTGAATAAGAGTTGACACCTTAGTCTAAAATGTCAGAGTCTCTGACTCCATTTGTGAGTTTTCTCCAAGCAGTTTCTAACTTACAGATGCTACATTAAGGTGTCAGATTCACATGGAGTTATTTATACACAGATAATACTAAATCATTTTTTTAACATATGGCTAGTCTGGGTTTCTTGGATTCAATTTATTGAAGAAACTATATTTTTTTAATCCAATATTTGTTTTTGGCACTTTTGTCAAAATGGTGATTGTAGCTGTGTAGCTTTATTTTTGGGGGTCTCCATCCTATGTTATCCATCTACATGTTTGATTTTTGTTTGATTGTTGTTGTTTTTTTTATCTACAAGTACTATACAATTCATATTACTATGGCTCTATAGTATAATCTGAGATCAGACATTGTACTATTTCTGGTGTTTTTATTTTAGTCTATTTGTTTTGGATGATTGAGGCCTTCTGTGCTCTTACGTGAATTTTAGCTTTTTTTGTTTGTTTTGTTTTGGCTGCTTTTACCAGAGCATAATTGAAATTTTGATGCATCTAATTTTTATGTCACTTCCAATAACACAGTCATTTTTAAAATAGAAACTCTTCTGATCAATAATCAAGAATACCTTTTCATCTTCTAATATAGTCTTCAGATTCTGTGTTGTTATAATGTTTTGAGAAAGAGGTCTTACACCTAATTTGTAGGTACATCTCTACATAGATGTTTGTTTCAAAATTTATGTTAGAAGTCTAATATCCATTTATAAGTGAGTATATACCATGTGTGTCTTTCTGCTTCTGAGATACCTCACTCACGGTGGTCTTTTCTTGTTACCACCATTTGCCTGCAAATTTCATGATTTCCTAGTTTTTGATTGCTGTAAAAATATCATTTTTCTGTATCCGTTCCTCCACTGAGAGACATCTGAGTTGTTTTTAGGTTCTGGCTATTACAAATAAAGCTGCTACAAACATGGTTGAGCAAATGTCCTTGCTGTGTACCTGAGCAAATTTTGGGTATATGCCTAGGAGTATACAGTTGGATCTTGTGGTAGGACAATTCCTAATTGACTGAGAAAGTGCCAGACTGATTTCCAAAGCTGTTGTTCAAGTTTACATTCCCAGTAGCAATAGAGGAGAGTTCTCCTTTCATATAATATAGGATAATCATACTAAAATCTGTACACCTAAAGACACTAGCCAAGAAGGAAGACCCTTAGTAAGTAAGATGTTCAATCCTCAATCAGAAAGGAAAACAGGATGGACATCAGGAGAGGGTGAAAACAAAGAACAAGACAGGAGTCTGAAACAGAGGGCTTCTGGAAGACTACTCAGCTGGGTATTGAAGCAGATGCTGAGACTCAGCCAAAATTTGGGCAGAGTGCAGGGAATCTTATGAAACAAGGGAGAGATAGAAAGATCTGGAGGGGACAGAAGCTCCACAAGAAGAACAACAGAACCAAAAAATCTGGTCCCAGGGATCTTTCCAGAGACTGATACTCCAACCAAGGACCATGCATAGAGATAACCTAGAACCCCTGCACAGATGTAGCCAATGGCAGCTCAGCCTCCAAGAGGTTACCACAGTAAGGGAAATAGGGACTGTCTCTGATATGAACTCAGTGTCTGTCTCTTTGATCACCTCCCCTGGGGAGAGTACAGGCTTTCTAGGCCATAAAGGAAGATAATGCAGGCAGTCCTGATGAGACCTGATAAGCTAGGGTCAAATGGAAGGAGAGGAGGTCCTCCCCTATCAGTGGACTTGGGGAAGGGCATGGGAGAAGAAGGAGGAAGGGTGGAATTGGGAGTGAAGGAAGAAGGGGTCATAAGGAGATGCAAAGTGAATAAGTTGTAATAAATAAATAAATTAATTAATTAAAAATAATGTTAATGAAATGTTTCTCAGTTTATTGGTTAATAAATAGGTTACTGGTATTAAAGAAACTTTTTTTCTTTTTTTAAGTTTTTATTTTATCATGTTTTACAATTTATTCATGTGTATCTCAATTGTACCCACTAGCTTTTCTCATTTTGGTCCCATCCTCCCAACCTCTTTCTCCTTATCCTCCTTCCCTAGTCCACTGAAAGGGGGAGTTCTCCTCCCCTACTATCTGACCAGAGCCTATTAAGTCTCATCAGGACTGTCTGGATCCTCTTCTGTGTTCTGATATGGTCATGACACTACGGGGAAGTGATCAAAGAGCAGGCAACTGAGTTCATGTTACAGACTGCCCCTGGTTCCCTAGACTGAGTTATGGGCTACATCTGAGCAGGGTGTCTATGTCCTCTCCATTGCATGGTACTTGGTTGATGCATCAGTCTCTGTGTGGATGGCATATCCTTCTCAATTATTGCTACACTGTTTGAAATAGCTAGGAAACAGAACCTAGATTCTCATCAACAGAAGAGTAAGTGGAGTAATGTGGTACACATATAAAATGGAATTTAATTCATCAATAATGGAAAATTTAATCATGGAAATTTCAGGAAAATGAATGGAACTAGAAATTATTGTGTTAAACACAATAATCCAAAATTAGAAAGAAAAACACTTCATGACTTTTCTTTTGAATGAAAGTTCCCAGAAAGAAACTACAGCTTCAGCTCGACCTTCTGCAAGGCTAATTACTGATTGGAACGTCAATGCCTTATTGGGAGATTTGAAAGTCGAAGATCTGTAGCCTAATTACAATTCATTGTGGGCTAAGTTTAGCCTTTTACATAGCCATTGCTTGCTTACCTCTTTGTGGGACCTAATATTCTCTGACTCACCAATAAAATCTATTTAGAATGAATTAAACAAGGTCACATTTTCCACCAACCGAAAGTCTAACGATGCCACTAGGTAACATTTGAGGCCACAAGCAGAGGTTTCCTGACTTTTCTTCAATCTCTATATTTAATGTTTCCATCACTGTATTTTAAAAGTGCCTGGATTTATGATTTTCTGCTAGGTTACTACAAAAAACATCAAACTGTTACCACACTAGGACATGAAATACGAGGTTACCAAAATCTATATTCCCTGGCTATATTCACACATGTTTAGGACTTGAATAACTAATTTTTAAACCTCTTTAAGATAAAAGTTGTGATTTTTTGTGAGGACAGTCTGTCAGTTGCCTCTCAATAAGATGTTCTATTTTGTGAGAGTGAGCGTGTATGTGCTTGTGTGTGTCTGTGTGTGTGTGTCTGTGTGTGTGTGTGTGTGTGTGTGTGTGTGTGTGTAATTAGAAGGGGACCATGAGAGAACAATAAGCTATCTTGAAAGAAGGGAATCAATGAGAGAATAATGGAGTATATAAAATTTGTAGACAGAAATAACGTATAACAAATGATACCATATAAAAAGGACTGGGAGATCATGGAGGTGAATGGCAGAGGGGAACAATCAAGAAATATGTAGATATAGATATAAATGAGATGAATATATATATTATATGATACAGTATATATGATGAAAATATCAGAATTAAGCTTATTATTTTGTCACTAGCTTAAATATGTAACTAAGAAAGAAAAAGGTGATTGTTATTTGGAGCAGTGGAAGTGAAAGCATAAGAGATCCATTCACAATAAATTTTTTTCCTGAGAAGCAGTCCAGTCATGGAACAATTAGAAATGTTACATGTAAAACTTAATATTTAGAGATTAAATAGAAAATAGTTTTACACAGATTACCAAATATTAACATGTGTATAGTTTCAGCCATGTTACAGCTGACAGTCCATAGACAAATTATATTTCATTCAATCACCCAAGCATGCTCTGAAAACATCCTGCATGGGGCAGAACTCTTGGTGTCCTGTGGAACTGTTTGGGGGAACAATGGAGTTCCTGTCCTGGAGAGGACAGGAACCCCACTAGAAGACCAACAGAGACAACTCCATGGGGGCTAACAAAGACTGAGACATCAACTAAAGAGCATGCCTGACCTAGACCAGGTAGCCCTGCCCACAGGTAGCCAACAGGCAGCATAGTCTTCATATGGGGTGCCTGACAAGTGTGAGTGTGTGTGTGTGGTGGTGATGGGAGGGGGTTCTAATGTGGATTCTATTGCCTGCTTTTGGTTCATTTCTCCCTGGCAGCACTACCTTTCCTGGCTGTAGGGGATAAAGATATGCTCAGTCCTGGTGTGACATGTGCTGGAGAAGGTTATTGTGGTTGAGAGGAGAGCTGCCATTTTCTGAGGGAAAGGAGAGAGGGGAAGGGGACAGGAGGGCAAGTAGGGAGGGATTACATGTGGGGATAGAGGGGATACCCTTGGGATCAAAGTAAATAAACGAATATAAAATTAAAAAATGAGAAACTGAGAAAGGTACAAAATGTGTTCATGATCATAAAAAGTCACAAAAAAACTCACCATAGCACTTACCCCTCTTTCTTTCTTGGAGGCTGGCCACAGGCAAGTAATGACAACACCAGGCTCCTCCTTTTGTCCCCAAGAACAAAGTATCTCTATTCCTCTAACAATCCTTGTGTCTGTAGCATTCCCTCTAACAGACAGAAGAACATGGTAACTTCAGTTTCTGCCTTCTAGGCTCAGTTCCATGCCAGTTACATAATGAAAAACAAGATCCAATCACTTTTGAAATGTTGGAAATGCAGTCACTGAGAAGAGAACCTATATCAACAGGTTGGCAGTTGAGGGATGACAGATTGAACCTACAGGTTCTTGGACAGATCTAAATGAAACTAAAGCTCAGCCTGGAAATATTTATCCAGCACAAACAATAGTACTGTTTGCTGACTCCAGTTTGTTGACTCCAGCCTTGTGTACAGTGTGTGTGTAGAAGTCTCTGTTCCTGTTTGTGTGCCTCTGTACATCTTTTAATGCTTTCTAATTGAAGAGCTCTGGGGAATTTAGTGGGCATGAAAACACATAAAGAACTCCTTGAATTGGGATAAAAATTGCCATTTAATGATACTATTTGGAAAAACCCGATCACAAATGTGAGCAGTCTCTAATACAGTTACTTAAAAAAAATAGGAATCTGGAATCTCCATCAAAAATGGATTTTTGAATAGTCTGTTTTTTTCCAAAGTGTGTGCAGTATGACATATTTTACATGATCATTCAGGGATTAAAACTCAATTGAATGAGTTGCATGCATGTTATATTTCTTGTGCTTTGCTTCCATGGCCTGTCAAAAGAGGGCCTGGTATTTGCAACGTATCAAAGAAAATCCCGGCTCTTTGCAACTAACTGAAATAATAATCATTAAATTTGCAGGCAAATGGTGGGAACTGGAAAGGATCATCCTGAGTGAGCTGTCCCAAAGCAGAAAGACACACACAGTATCTACTCACTCATATAGACATATAGGATAAACCTACTAAAATCTGTAAACCTAAAGAAACTTATCAAGAGGGAGGACCCTGACTAAAATGCTCAATCGCTATCCCAAAAGGCAAAGAGGATGGACATCAGAAGAAGGAGAAAATAGGAAACAAGTTAGGAACCTGCCACAAAGGGCCTCTGAAAGGCTCTGCCCTGCAGACTATCAAAGCAGATACTGAGACTTATTACCAACTATTGGGCAGAGTGCATGGAATCTTTTGAAAGAAGTGGGAAATAGTAAGATCTGGAGAGAACAGGAACTCCACAAGGAAAGCAACAGAACCAGAAAATTTGAACACAGGGGTCTTTCCTCAGACTGATACTCCATCCAAGCACCATGCATGGAGATAACCTAGAACCCCTGCACAGATATAGCCCATAGCGGTTCAGTGTCCAAATAGGTTCCATAGTAATGGGAACAGGAACTGCCTCTGACATAAACTGATTGGCCTGCTCTTTGATCACCTTCCCCTGAGGTGGGAGCACCCTTACCAGGCCACAGAAGAGGACAATGCAGCCACTCCTGATGAGACCTAATAGACTAGGATCAAAGGGAAGGGGTTGAAGACTTCCCCTATCAGTGGACTTGGGGAGGGGCATGCATGAAGAAGGGAGAGGAAAGGTGGGATTAGGAGGCGAGGAGGGAAGGGCTTATGGGGGGATACAAAGTGAATAAAGTATAATTAATAAAAGTTAAAAAAAGAAAAAAATGCAAAAAAAAAAGAAATAAGAAGAATGTCTAGGGAACTATTTTGCGAGGCTAACAGGAACTTCTGACAATGGGGTTTAAAATCTCTCATTCCTCGTGCACTAGCTTTAAGTTATGTGATTATTAAGAGTTCCTCAGACTGCAAGGCGACCACCATCGGTTGCCTGATTCACTAACCTTATCCTGCTACCATTGTAGTCACTTATGAATGTCACTTGATAGTTTGCTTCTGTCTATTCTCATCAAGTTTATTACATGAAATTATGAATTTTAATGTGAGTGTTTCCTAGCTGGAAGATAATTTGCATAGCAGTAACATTTTCCTATTTCTTTCTTCCCATTTCTGGGCCCCTTTTAATTTTATTTTCCCTTTTTATTAAAAATAAGATTATTTTCTTAAAAAACATATCCTAATTACAATTTTCTGTCATCCCTCTGCTCCTCCAAGTTGATCAAGCCTCCTCTTCCATTCAAATTCAATCTCTTTCTGTCTCTCATTAGAAAAGAGCGGGCTTCTGTGTCCCCTACAACATGCTAGTGCCACAAGATTGTGTGTTTTGTATGTGTCTAAGTGAAGAGTCTGCACTTTCTCACTGCTTTTACTGGAACAGCTCGAATCTTTTCAAGGTGCAGTTAAACCTACACACTCCAGTTTCATCACCTTTTTCAACATTCTTCTTGCGTTCATGTTGTTTTCATTTCTCTATTGAATCTTTTAAACTATATTAGAATCATCCTGCTATCATTTTTACCGACATGACATAAATTCAATAGATTAATAATGGCATGGCTTCATATTCAGACTCTGAAGAAAAGCCCAGGACTCAGGTATAAAGAGCCTTCATACACTCCTAGAGGAAGGGTAAACTAATGTAGTCTCCATGGAAACCAATTCAGTTAGCATATGATTCAGCTGTACCTTGTTCTCCTGGGGTTCCTCATCCCCTCAGGCTCTTACTCTCTTTCTGCCACCTCTCCTACAGTGTTTTCTAAGCTCTGGGGATGGATTTTATGGAGACATCTAATGCATTGATCTATGAGTAAGTGTATCATTAGGAAAGGAATCATTTTATCAATACCATTTTTTTTTTTATTTGTGGGCTTCAAGACCAACCAAACATTAATTGGTTACTCCAATCAGCTTTGTGACACAGCTGTGCTGGTGTATGTTTCAGGCAGGACAGCATTGTAGATCAAAGGTCTTGTGGCTGGGTTGATGTATAAGGTTTCTCTTTTGGAAGCCTGCAGAGTACTTTCCCTTACCAAAGACACTAGAACACAGGAATGAAAGTTCTCTGTAGGTATCAGCTCTGTCTCCCCACGTATACTGAGTCTTTAAAAACAAGATCTTTGTATTATTTGCCAAGTACTTGCTTAGAATGACTCATTGCTATTTCCACTGGACAGAAGGTGTTGCTCATCTTGAGAGTTAGCCATCAAACCTTCAAATTTAGCTCAAATAAGTGATGCCAGTGCCGAAAGACAATCCAAAATGATGAATGGCCTTAGTACTTTGAACTTTAATCTTCTGAATCTAATCTCTCTTAAAATAGCACGTTTTAGCCCTCTGTCAGATATAGGGTTGGTGAAGATCCTTTCCCAATCTTTAGGCTGTCGTTTTGTTCTGGCGACAGTGTCCTTTATATTCCAGAAGCAGAAAGACACACAGGTCACATACTCACTCCTAAGTGGATATTAGACCTATAATATAGGATAAACATATATCAGGAAGGAGGACTCTGGCTAAGATACTCAATCCCCATTCATAAAGACAAAGAAGATGGACATGAGAAGAGGGGGAAAACAGGGAACAGGACAGGAGCCTACCAAAGAGGGCCTCTGAAAGGCTCTACCCTGCAGGGTATCCAGGTAGATGCTGAGATTCATAGCCAAACTTTGGGAAGAGTGCAGGGAATTTTATGAAAGAAGTGGAAACTATAAGATCTGGAGAGGACAGGAAGTCCACAAGGAGAGCAACAGAACCAAAAAATCTGAGCACAGGGATCTTTCCAGAGACTGCTACTCCAACCAAGGACTATACATGGAAATAACCTAAGACCCCTGCACATATGTAGCCCATGGCAGTTCAGTATCCAAGTGGGTTTCATAGTAATGGGGACAGGGACTGTCTCTGACAGGAACTGATTGGCCTGCTCTTTAATTATCTTTCCCTGAGGGGGGAGAAGCCTTACCAAGCCACAGAAGAAGACAATGCAGCCACTCCTGATGAGACCTGTTAGACTAGGATCAGAATGAAGGGGTGGAGGACCTCCCTTATCAGTGGACTGGGAGAGGGACACGGGTGGGGAATAGAGAGAGTGGGATTGGGAGGGGAGGAGAGAGGGAGGTACAGGGTGGATACAAAGTGAATAAACTCTAATTAATAACAACAAAAATAATTAAATAAAAAAGAAAATAGAAAAAAACACAGGTGTCAAAACAAAAGATATAATTTTGAGTTCTTTACTGAAAAAAGTAGCATGATTTGAAATATGATTATTTTTAATTTTTCTTTAAGTTTCACAACCTGTTTTTCAGTAGATGTATTATGATTTGTGTATGTGATTTAGTTCTGATATTTTTAATTAAACATAAAAACATTACTGGCAGAAATCACTTTTTATTTATTTTTTTATTATAATTTTTTTCTTTTTAGTTACATTTTGTTAACTCTGTGTCCCAGCTGTATCCCGCTCCCTCATTCCCTCCCCAACCCCACACTCCCTCCCTGGTCTCCTCCCTGCCCCTTTCCAAGTCCCCTGATAGGGGAGGACCTCCTCCCCTTTCATCTGACCCTGTTTTATCAGGTATCTTCAGGGCTGGCTGCAAAGTCCTCCTCTGTGGCCTAACAGACTGCTCCTCCCCT